AAATTTCTGTCAAGAGAAGAATGTTCTCGGTGTCAATAAGAAAGTTGATGAATTTATTTTCTAAGATTGATGAAGTTAAAGATTGAAATGGTCAGGTGTAGAGAAGTTTGAAAGTTTTTATTGGAAGATTTATTTAACATGTCTTGTAGATAATTTATCATTATAGATAGATAGAATTTACCAGTTTCACAATATTCATACAAAAACACATATAGATATAATTTCACTCGTTACATTTAGAATATTCAAAAATAAGAAAAAAAGAAAACACATATACATACAAAATATACCAATTACCATCAAAATATTGAAACGATAATACATTTTGTATAATTATAAGAACATTTCGGATATAAATTAACCAGTACACATTAGATACTCGAAAAGATCGTATACAAATTAATTAGATTTCGAATTTCCATTAAAAAAACACGTTTTATATAAATATAAGAACACATCTAGATATAAGAAAGACGATATGAAAATAATAACAGATATACGTACAAAACAAAACACATTTTTCCTCGAGAAAGAAATATCATTTTTAGAAAGATAGTAGAAATCGAAAATCTACTATTCGATAAATCAATTACTCGAAAATATCATTCTGGAGTAAGACAAGGTGACGCCATTGGTCCTTTTCTACTCAATATTGTTATTGATAATTTTTTTATTTGCTACAAAAAGGGTAAGGTGGCTGTTATAGTCAAGTTATAAGACGAATCCCGTAATATCTTGATTGTGAAGATGGGATTTATCTATGACTTTGAATACTATAAAACTAGAAATTTTCCGTTTGAGGACTTCAACAATTTAATACAATAAATAACAACTTAATTCAGATTTTATCAGAATTTCTTTGAATCTCGTAAAATCTTTTTCTCCGTTCTTTAAAGACAAGTTTACGAGGAGAGTTTGTCTTGTTGATTTCAAACTTCAATCGTTTATCAGACACAGAACTTTCTTAGATAAAATCAGAGAAATAAATTCTGGAGAAAAAATATAAAAGTTGAAGAAAATAAATAT